CTTATTTTCAAATATAATTATACAAAGTTTTATTTAATTATTTTAGTTTTTTATAAAAGTAAATTAGAGCCAAAAAAATGCAAAAACACAGGCAAATTTGTTTGTGTTCTATTACAATTTAAGGGATAAACGTCAATTACTTAGAATAGTCTATAGTTATCCTTGTCATTTAGAAATTGCTAAATGATTTTTATGTAGTAACTGGAATGCGATTAATGTAGCAGAGATTCAGAAAACTGATGTAGAAACTAAGTACCTAGTTCCAAGTCAAAAAAGGAGTACTGATTTATTTTATACAATTAATATTAAAGTTTTTACTTGTATCTGCTTTGTTGAATTATTTGGAGCACTATGTAAACACTAGGCTGTAGTAGCAACAAAATATCATATTGGTTTATTAAACTTTTTTCACTTATTAACATCTAAGGATCGTGCTAATTTTGTATATATTGCATATAGTAAGTGATTAATAATTTTAATAATTTAAATCAATATTATATTTATTAATCTTTAATAATAACTTTATTTTAAAGGACTATTGTGAATGATTATTCTTTTTATGCGTCGCTTTGTAATTATATAAAAAATAATCAACTTAGTCAACAAAAAGATAAAGAAAACATTTTAAATAGTCAAGTGATAAATAAAGTTCAGGAATCTGAATCTGATAAATCTCAAGTAAACCTAATTACTGTAATAGCAGTTAATGAAAATCATGGACCAAAAAATCCTAAAGCAGAATTAATTATCACAACTAAGGATGTTGAGTATATAAATATATTTTTTTATATATTTTTTATCCCAATAAAAATCTATTCTAAATAAATTATTTTTAAATAGTCGAATAATAAATGAAGTTCAAGAACCTGAATTGCAAGTGAACTAAATTACTGTAACAAATATTAATAAAAATCAAAAATCAAAAAATCTTGAAATAGATTTAATTATTATGGCTGAGTATATAATGATATTTTTTATACTGTATATTTTTTATTAAAATTTATTTTTAAATAGTCAAGTGATAAATAAAGTTCAAGAATTTGAACTTGTAAAATCTTAAATGAACCAAATTACTGTAATAAAGGTCAATAAAAATCAGGAATTAAAAAATTTTAAGGTAGACTTAATTATCGTGACTAAATATATAATTATATAAATATATTTTATATATTCTTTATCATAATTTAAAATCTATTTTAAATAATTTATTTTTTAGATATAATATAGCTTTTCTTAAATTATTTCTTGAAACAATTAAACAAGATTATGAAAACAGTGTTTCACAGTTTTGGACTACTCTTAAAAAATTAGCTAAATGATATAATGCAGCAAGAGCAAGATCTATTCTGACATTAACATTATTTCTTTACAATATTGAACGAAATGTTGATCTGTTAGTATATGTGAGGAGTGAAGCAAAAATTCGAACACAGGTTGAGTCAGTAAAAGCACAAAAAAAAAGGCTATTTGTAATAAGAAAAATGTTGATTATCATATTATGCCAGCGTATAAAAAACAGATAATTGGTAAAAGGACCATAGCCTTATTCAAAATGTAAATAAGAATCAGTTTAAATTAATTAACTTCAAAATATATAGTACATTTATATATAACTATATACATTTATAATTACTAGTTTTATTAATATGTAATATATTTATATATAAATGTATTTTGTAATGCACTTGTATTAAAGTTTAAAAAAACTTTACATTTGGTATACAGGAGTTATGTTCAAAATAAATATAGAGATAAATTAGGAAGTACATATCAACCCCTTATGCAATTAATCTAAGTTTCAATAAATTTCTGCCCTATATATATTCACTTGTCAAGAATAAGTAGTTTATCCTTGTATATATATATATCTAACAACCTTTTATTTAGAAAATTAATGATTATTATATAGTAAAATCTACTAACTAAAAGTTATATAGATGGGTTGACAAAGAATAAACAAAAATTTAAGGTTTTAGAATTAAAAGAATATAGGAGTCTGATTTTTAATAAATGATATATTTATTTAAAATAGTGTATTGGTTTATTTTATTTTTGATTTTAAAGTTTGAAATATAAATAGGATTTCTTAAATTCTGAAACAGTTTATTGTCAAAGATTAGAAAGAGTCTTTATATTAATAATTACTTTGCTAATTCAGCTTGCATAATAGTTAAATGAAATACTGAAGTGTAGCAATAGAATTTTATAAATCTAATAAAGAAAATACTATAATTTATATCTATCATATAGTTATTTAGATTCAGGCAAATTTAAATGGATGTTAGTTATGCTAATTATTTTGGATATAGGCTCTTGTATACCGAATGTTTAAAATTTTGCTTACACCAAGTTTTTTTAAAAAAAATTGAAAGAGCGCCACACGCGTCTGAGGATGGTCACATTATTAGTATAAAAAAAAAAAAAAAAAAAAAAAAAAAAAAAAATTAAATTTACAGTAATATGCACAATATGTTATACAAAAATTCAAGGATTAAATTATGCATCTGATCTTGTACATAACAGATGATTGACAAAACCTGGCACAGATTTCTGTGTGCTTAAATGATTAAATGATTAAGAAAAATTTTAGGTGAATTCAATCTCTACTTAGAAGATTTGATATTAAAATGTTTTTAATTATATTATTTTAAACAGCATTAAGCAAAATTTCTTTATTTTAAAATAATTTTATAAAGATTGATAAAATTAAATTTGTAACCAAATTGCAAGTATATTGGTTTTTAAAAATTTGAAAGAGCTTGATCATTATAAAAAAGATTTGACAAAAAAGAATTATAAGTATGTACTAATATATCAACAATTTTAATTAAATTATTTTTAGAAAATAATATATTTAATATAAATGATATATTTAATAATAACAAACCTTATATTACAAATTTTAATGTTGCTTTTTCTGTTATTTAGCAAATTTTAATACAATTATAATTTCTAAAACAAACTTAATATCAAAGATATAGGTAATAGTTATATTCTGGGCGGTTGGGTATAAATAAAATTTTGCAGTAAAGTATAATCGGCTATATAAGTAGCTGATTTACATCACTTATATTTTACTGCAAAATTTCAATTATATATCCAACTGTATAGGATATAACTGATTTATCCTTTACTATCTATATGATTATTTAAATTCTTCTTTCTTTAATAAAAGAAAAAAATGGTTAGAAATTTTTTTAATAAAGTATAGTATTTATTTATTTATATTATTGCTATTATTATTATTAAATTTTTGATTTTTAAGAAATCCAGATTTAAATCTGCTTTAGAAATTAATCTAGTAACTTAATCATTAAATAATCTAAAGAAATTAATTTCAAATCAGAAAATAACTAATAGATCTTTAATAAAACCAAATAATAAAAAATCTGATATATATATTTTTTTTCCTTTGGCAATCCTGTTTACTTTATTATGGGAACAGACTTTCATTCCTATATTGGCATACGAAGAAATCTAAAATCTATAGGTGTTCCAACC